CCAGACCTTTTGGAGTAGAGGGTCTTCTTGTTCTTGAAGAGCTCACTGGCGCAGAGCTTGGCCTGCAGCAGGGCCTTGTGCTGCGGCGTCAGCTGCTCCCGGTACTTCTTGCACTGCAGAGGGAGGGGATGATTTGGTGTCACTGAAGACCTTTGGTGGGGGCTGGCATGGATGGATGCAAGATCCCAAACAAGGTCCCCTCTCCCCCGTGTTCCCCAACTCCCACCTTCCAGCGATAGAAGATGCTCTTCAGCTCCTGGTTGGCATTGGCCAGGAACTTGTATGGCGGAGGGGGCCAGGTCCGGTCCATCAACGACACTGGCAGCTTCTTCTCCAGCCCCACCAGGAACTTCTGCACCTGTGGGCAGCAACGCAGCAGGGCGTTGGGAGGGTCGGAGGGTCCCTGGGGCAGCCCTGAGGTGGAAGGCTGGGAAGGTGCCGTGTCCCTTCTCCCCCTGCCTCACTCACCAGACGCCGGTAGATGAAGTTGGCCAGGCAGGCACTGGCCCCGGAGCGGAAATATCTCCTGTACGCCTGGCGGACCTGCCAGAGACAGCTGTCAGCTGTGGGGACACAGGACCTTGCCCCTTGCCCACCCCCGGGGGCACCCCCCCACACACACAACCCCCTTTGGCCCCAGCAGAGAGGACAGCTGCTCCAGCCCGACAGGGTGGGCAGGAGCCAGGGTGGGCAGACAGACAGACAGCCCTGGACACAGCGGTGTGGACAGCAAGACAGAGGCAGCAGGGCTGGCCCCATTACCTGGAACCCTTTCCAGTAAGCAGCGATGGTGGTGGCTGCCGTGTGACGCTGGCGCTGGGACTTCAGCTCCCGAAGGAGCAGGCGAGACTGTGGGGGGTGAGAACCCGGGAGCCCAAGGTGGGGGGAGACCAACACAGATACAGAGCAAGAAGGAAAGAGGCAGGAGAGAAGGATAGAAGATGGGGGAAGAGATGAGTCTGGTCTCACCACAGGGCACGCAGACCCCCCAGCCCTGCCCACGCCACCAGCCTAGGTTGCCCAGCCCTCACCTTCCAGCCCCGCGCATACGCCTGGATGAGCAGAGCCGACCGCTTCAACTGCTTGTACTTGTTCTTTTGCTGCAGTGGGGAGAGGGTGGGGTGAGCCGGGGGGCTTGGGAGAGCTGGGATGCCCTACCTGGGGATGCAGGACCCCCCTGTTCCTCACCGCATTGCCCCGGAACCAGGCAGAGATGACGATCTGGCTTTTGCGCATCAGCTGGTACTGGGTCCGGCACCGCCAGCCCCGGAAAATCTTCTGGATGAGGGTGGCGAGCTGGACCACGCACTCCTGGCGCCGCCTCTCCAAGTCAAAGAGCTGGGGACAGCCAGGATGAGTGCTGGAACAGCTACCAGGAACAGGGACCCCCAGCCAGGAGCCACCTCTGGGGGCTGCAACATCACCCCAGAGCCCCCAGGCTGGGCTTAGGGCCACCAGTGGGGCTGAGGGACATGTGGGGCTGGCACCCACTCTGTGTCAGACCCTGCCCCCTGACTGCCCCACAGCAGGGCCCCCCCATGCCCAGACTCACGGTGTGTGGTGAGCGGATGAAGATCTTGGTGTGGCCGAACGCCCACTCCTCGGGGGGGTATGGCAGCTCTGCCAGCAGCACTTCAGCCCCCTCCCTGCACCGTGGGAGAGGCGAGGCTGGTCAGAGCCTGGCAGTCCCTGGGCTGGGGGGGACACGGGACACGCCCTCAGGCTGGCTCAGCCCCGTACCTGTCGCTGCCGGCCCAGCGAGGCCAGGGTTCAGCATCTTGTAGCGCTCCAGGAAGGAGCCGTAGAGCTGTCGGAAGGCGTAGCCCGCCCGCCGCACCCGCACGTTCTCCATCAGCCCCAGGTACCGGACCTGCTCCAGCACCAGCTCCGGCGTGAAGAGCATCGCTGATTTAGTCTCATTGGGCTTGATGCACCTGGGGGGGCAGTGGTGAGCTGGGGGACATCCCACCGGCACCAGAGCGGGGGCCAGGGCTCCCCCCCCATCCAGTACCTGATGTAGTTGGGGTTCTTGGAGTAGAGGTTTTTCATCAATGTTGCCACCGAGGCCTTGAACTGGAAGCCAGCAGTTGGGGGCAGCTTGAGGGAGACCTTCTGGGGGTCTCCCTCGGGGAAGAGGGAGCGCAGCAGTGTGTGCTGGGCGGCCCACATGGCCTGCGAGAGGTCACGGAAGAGCAGGTCATTGTTCTTCTCGATGAAGCCTGTCACATTGTAGGTGACCTGGGCACAGGAGCAGAGTAAGCACCCCGGGGGCTGCTGGTTCCAATTTAATTGCCAGCTCCACATCTCCCATGCAGAGCTGGGAAGAGGACTGGGGGTCCCAGCTGCGGGTGCTGGTGGGTGCCTGCGGCCGCTGTCTGACCTTGCCAGCGTAGTGGTGGATGCGGAAGCAGCGTGGCGGAAGGCTGGCGTCCATGATGTGCCGGGCGTTCTGGGTCTCCCTGCTCTCATAGTGCTTGTGGGTGGCGAAGAGCTGGTTGAGCTTGGTGAGGAATGTGTCCTCATTGACCACACCAGGCCGCAGGCACTCCTCATCCAGCATGGCCAGGATCCCTCCCTTGCTCTGCACCATGGGGGACAGTGTCACCCAAGTAGCCCCATCACACCAGGGCTGCTCTGGACTCTGTTCAGCCCAAGCTGCTACTGGGGCAGCTGGGACCCCAACTGGAACACCCAGCACTGAGAGGCAACTCACATTCTCAATCAAGTTGCAGATGATGGTGTTGTCAAAAAACTCCACTGGTGTCCACTTGATGCCCTGGAAGCAGAGAGGTGTCAGATGGACAGACACATGGACTCTGCCCCATGGACAATCCCCAGCTGATGTGGAGCAGGAACAGGACATCCGGCCACAGGGATGAGGATCCCAAATCCCTCCCTGCCTTCCTGCTATTGAATCTGCTCCCGGCAGGGAGCAGGGTGAGGGAGGGACATGCTGTGGAGCTGTCTCCAGCACTTCCCCATCCCTGGGGGGCCAAGGCTCCTTTGGGCTGTGCTCTGGCACAGGCAAAGGGGCCACATCCAGCCCCAGGGTACCTCTCGGATGTATTCCTCCTGCTCCTCCTTCAGGGTCATCAGGATGAAGATCTGCTGCAGCTTCTCGTTGCAGTAGTTGATGATGAACTGCTCAAAGCTATTATCCTGCAAGAGAAGGGTCCTGTGTGGCAGGTTGTGCCCAAGCCCTCAACCCTGTCCCATGTCCCACCCCCCACTTCCAACCTCCCCCAGCAGCAGGATGGGTCTGGGTGAGCCCTGTAATCACCTGGAAGATCTCAAAGCCATAGATGTCCAGGACACCCATCACCTTCCTTGGATTGCCTGATTTAACCTAGGGGGGACAGTGGAGTGCTGAGGTGTGTCCTGGCCCCATGTGGGATGAAAGTCCAGGCCCCTATCCAGGGTAGGGGGGCTGGTGCCTGTCCCACTGGGTGCTCACCTGGATGCTGGTGTTGATGCTGTTCACCAGCCAGTCAAAAAGGCGGCTGTAAATGTTCTTGGCCAACGCATCCCGGCCGTAGTAGCCCTGGGAAAAGAGGCAAGGGGCTTGTGCCAGCTCCCGAGGGCTGCCAGGTGCCAGCCCCATGGCAGGGCATGGTTCCACTCACCTGGGGGACGCTGAGGGTGGTGTGCACTGTCTCGTTCCGCGCCTTCACAGTGCGGGTGCACAGCGCCTGCTCCAGAATGCTGGAGTCCAGCCCAATCAGCTCACAGATCTCCTGCAACTCTGCAGGGAGGTGGTGGTTCCAGGGCTGAGCTGGGGGCCGAGGGGGGCCCCAGCCCACTGCAGACCAGCCATGTCCATACCCTGTGGCTCAGCAATGCTGCAGGACTCCATTCCACTGGCCTGAAAGCTGCTGCTCAGCTGCACGTTGCCCAGCTTGAGCACCACGGCTGTCACCTCCAGCAGCGCTGTCACCTCGGCGGGTGAGAAGCCAATGACCCTCATGGCATCCTGGGGATGGAGAGAGTCAGCTCAGGAGGATGGGGATGACCCCGGGCTGTTGTGGGAGGGGTGTTGTGGTGGTACCTGCATGGCACGGAAGTTGGCTGCATCATCCATGCCGGGCAGGTCAGAGCTCTCCCGATTCAGGTAGACATAGTGCCTGCAGTCCTGGCGGAGCTTCAGCTGCTCTGGGGGTAGGAGGTGGGTCAGCTATGGCCCTCCCCAGGCCCCTACCCTTCCCGACCCACCATGCTCGGGGTCTGGACCTACGGAGCAGCTGTGCTGAGCCCCCAGCAAGGAGCTGGTAGAAGATGTGGAAGTTCCTCTCGCCCTTCACGTGCTGGACGATCCGGGACTTCTCCAGCAGATCTGTGGGCAGGGTCAGCATCACCGGGGTGTGCAGGGTGGGACCCAGGGATGGACGATCGGTACTCACAGTTGCTGATGACCCCTCCCAAGGGCTGCCCCTTGAAGTCGAACTCCACGTCCATGTATTTGCCCTAAGGAAGGGGGCTGGGATCAGGACAGGGGACCCTGCGGGGGGGTGGCAGCTCTGCTCCCCACATCTCCATGCCCTGGGGTGCCTCCTGCCCCATCAGGGTCCACAGGGTCCTGGTAACTCCAACACCCCAGTTCCCTAGTCACTCACAAATCGGGACGAATTGTCATTGCGGATGGTCTTGGCATTTCCAAAGGCTGTGGGGCGAGGACAGGGTCATGGTGTGGTCAGGAGGGCTGTGCCAAGCCCAGGGACAGGTGTGGGATGCTTACCCTCCAGCACAGGGTTGGACTGCAGGAGCTGCTCCTTCACCTTGTCCACCTCCTCCCCTTTGCTGCACACAGCCGCCACGTAGGACATCACCAGCTTGCTGGCCTCTGTAAGCAAGGGGCCAGGGATGCCAGGATGGTGGGTGTCAGGGCAGTGCCTACCCATCCCATGACCCCCTCACAGCTCAGCAAGCGCCTGGCAGCAGCCCCGGCTCTACCTGTCTTGCCAGCCCCACTCTCGCCAGTGATGAGGATGCACTGATCCTGGTCCCGGTCCCGCAGCGAGCGGTAGGCGTCATCAGCAATGGCATAGCTGGAGGTGAGGAGGGGTTAGGAGAGGGATAGGGGGGTCTGAGGGCTTCAGGGGAGGCCAAGAGCCCCCACTGGGGCTGTGAGCTGGCCCTGAGGGGACTCCCCCAGATCCTGAAGTCTCAGGCTCGCCAGTGGGTAAAGGTCTCGGCAAGATACAGGGACCAAGGGACGCCAGGGGGCTGCCGGGTTCCCCGTGCTCACATGTGGGGCTTCACGGCGAAGAAGCTGCAGTTGTGGTACTCCTGCACCTTCTCGGGGGTGTAGATGGGCAGGGAGCGGTACGGGTTCACCGAGATCACCACGCTCCCAATGTACGTCTGCGGGCGAGCGGAGCAGCGTGCGTGCAAGACTCAGACCAGATTTCGAGACTCTCCCCACAGAGCCTGGACCCTGCTGCACACTCCAGCCCCCTCGCCCTCCTCCCCTGCCCACCCCGGCCCCCGGCCCACTGCTTACATAGATGTCTCCGCGCTGGAAGCGTTCCTGCAGGGTGCGGAGCAGGGACTCCTCGGTGAGAGGGTCCAGCAGCACCAGGTCCCCGACGGCCGCAGAATCCAACAGCGAGGTGGTGGCTTCCATGGCGGGGAGGCTCCGGCGCAGCTGCGGCAGAGCAGGGGTGGCTGCAGCCCAGGGACAGGCAGCCCCTTTCCCAAACACCCTCTGCTCCTCAGTAGCTCTGAGGCTCTGGCTGTTCCCTCCCCTGCGGGTCTGAGAAGAGCCCCGGGGAGCGCAGGGTGTCCCAGCACCGGAGGCACAGACGCAGGGCAAGGCTCGAAGCACTGGCAGCGAGGGGCAGGATGTGGCCCTTGGCCAGTGGGACGCAGCTGGGACCTTGGCAGCTCCCTGATCCCCTCCTGCTCCCCCAGGCACGGCGTTGTGCTGGCAGCCCTCGGGGACAAGGGACAAGCCACGCACCGCACTGAGGGCTCCTTCCTGGGACACCCTGGCACCCGGGACCACACGGTGGGGATGGGGGCTCGGCGTGGGGCGGCAGGACGCCGGGCTCCTGCCCACCGCTGCGAGGAAGCGGGGGCCAGGCCAGGAAACGCGGACACCTGGATCCTATTCTTGGGGCAGGGAAGAATTCAGCCTCTGCTTCCTCCCTTCTTCCTGGCAGGGGGACGCCGGGGTGGGAAAGGGACAGATCCGGGGCCGGGAGAGCTCAACCCTGTGGTAAGGAGCACCCAAGGGCTCCCACGAGAGACCCCACCCAGCCCTCACCCGTCCTTGACGGAGCAGCCGCCTTCCTGGTGACCTTCACCCTGGGTGCAGGGCTGTAAACCCTTATCGGAGCCCGGGGAAAGTTCACAAGCGAGGAGGTGGGGAAGGATGGGACAAACGGGGTGATGGAAGCGGCTCGATCAGGAGCTGCGCTGCTGGCATCAGGCTCTGAAGAGGATGGCAGAGACTCCCGCGTGTCCCTGTAGCCTCCCCCTGCGCAGGGCACCAGCACTGAGTCCCCCGTACTGCTGGGCGCGGGAGAGCAGGGCGAGCACGGGTGGGAGCCAGAGCAAGAGACCCGCAGCGCAGCTCCCGGGGCAGCCCTGCGCTCACCCGCCTTCCCTACGGTGCCAGGTTTCAGAGCTCCCCGTGTCCACGGGGTGACAGTCCCTTGGGATGCGGGTGCCCTGGGGTGGGGGCTGTGGGGACAAGGTGCCCCCGGCCAGCCCTGGGATGTGGGGGTCTTGGCTGCTTCAGGGTAGGGGTTAGGAGCAGAGGGGTCCGCACTCACCTCTCGGTGCAGAGCACCAGCTCCTGGAGTGGCTTCAGCTGGAGCTGCCTAGGACCACGGGGCTCAGCCCAGCACCCGGTACTGGCCCAGTCCGGCCCACAGAGAGGCGGGGGGCCGAAGGGACCTCCCTCACGGCACCGCGCCCACTTGTAGGCAGGAAACTGAGGCACGCAGTGCAGCAGCCGCTGGGAAGCAGCCCCGGGCTGCCCGCCGGCCTTCAGTGCTTCTAGGTCGTCCCCCCTGCGGCTCCGCTCCTCTCCCTGCCCCGACAGCTCGGAACAGGAACAAGCAGAGACGGTAACCAGCAGCAGAGCAAACACAGGAAGCATCCTCCAGGGCTGCGGGATGCGGGGCAAGGTACAGACAGAGCCGGGAGCACCAAGGGCTGCACCTGCCTGCGTGCAGCACAGCTGGGGTGAGTCTTGTGACCGGGCACTGTCCTGCCCTGCGGCTGCACCAGGGAACACAGCACCCCGGGGCCCAAATTCTGTCCAAGCGCCATGCAGTATAATTGGAAGAGCAGGCACCCATGGGCAGATAAGCCAGAGCCAAGGGTGAGCTCTGGGGTCACCACGGGATGGACAAACCAGGCTCATCACCTGGAAAATACATCTTTATTAAAAATATACTCAGTTGCTAACCACACAGAGGGGCTGGAGGGCCACAGGAAGGGAGGCACACAGTAACAGATGCTGCTCACACAGAGCAGGGAGGAAAGAGCAGGGGGGTAAACCTGGGACAGAAACAAACCAACGGCAAAAGCTGCAGCAGCAGCAGCACAGGGAGGCGGGAGCACAGGCCCCAGCAGCAGAGCAGCTGTGGGGCAGATTTATTGCTTAGAAACTTGCATAGATTGGGGCATCCCTGCCAGCTTTGTGCTTCAGAAAGGCCAAGGACCGGCTGCACTGAACTCCCTGCCCAGCATGGGGACAGGCAGGGCTGGCCCATCACCTGCCTGGTCTGGCTGGGGGAGCAGCACAGGGGGGCCAGGCCCCACATAACAGCAGGTCAAGGGTGGGAGGCACCAGCTTCAAGGGGACAAGGAGCTGCTAGCATGGAGCTGCCAGGGAGGAGGCAGCACATCCACACTCATCCTCAGCCCAGGGAGGGTCCAGATGACTGTGGCACAGGATGAGAGAGGTCAAGTATGGCTTTGGGCTGCAAGGTGCCTTCTCCCGTGCTCTATGACACACACACAAAGGGGCTGTGTACCAGAGACACTCTGGGGCTTTTGGTATTCACAGAAGATTCAAACCAAGGCAGAGGCACAGCCCAACCAGTCAGAGCCATCTGGCATCTTTGGTATCAGCAGGAGGAAGAGGAGCAGGTCACTAGCTGCCCACTCCCTCCCCACAGCAGGAGATGCTGAGCACGCAGGTAGCAGGTCCAAAGTTCCTCTCGTGCATGTCACTCTCACACACCTGCAGGCAAGACAGACCTTTCACTCCATCCCCACCCTGGCAGGAGACGCTCCTGGCAGAGCTGCAGTGCCGTCAACCCAGCACAGCGGGCTGAGGAAGAGGCTCCTGGGTGCTGAGGGGCTCTGGGAGCTTGCAGGAGCCAGGTCAGCACCAGGCTGTGGAAGGAGGCCCCTCCCCTTCAGGTGATGCACTAGGAGCTCACCAGCACCCACACCAAGAGCCAGATCCACCTTCAGACAGGACCAGCCTCCCACAGGCAGTGGTGGCACAGCCCGCGCCTCCCCTGCACTGACAGAAGCCTTGGGCTGTGGTCTGGCAGGAGCTGCCCAGGGAAGATGAGGGTGTCAGCCCCCTTGTCCTCCCACAGGCTCTGCTGCAGCATTCACAGCCACCCAGTTTGGGGTGGGATTGAGATGCGGGTGCTGGGATGAGACATCCCTCTGGCACAAGCTGCTTTGTGTTTCATAGGTGTTGCGGAAGCAGCAGCCGTTCTGCCCTCTTCTCCAGGGGCCCAGGGCTGCTGACCTCAACGAGCATCCAGGTGGTTGTGGTTCAGGGAGTAACTCTTGTGATTCCTGTCCAAAAGGTCATCATCCTCATTTTCATCCTCCTCCTCCTCCTCAAAGAGCTGGTCCTCAAGGAAGATGCCATCCAGACCATACTCCTGCTCATGGGCAGAGACCTCATTGGGGGTGACGTGACAGGAGCCACCCACAAAGTCTGCAAACCTGGGAAGAGCCACAAAGCAGCACATTGTGTGGGCAAGCCGGGCAGTACCTGCAAGGCCCTGGTTCATGAGGAGCCAGGGTGAAGAGTTTCAGTGCCAGCACCGGGCATTATCTGTCCTTCCCCCAAGGCACGCCCTGCTCCCACAAACCACAACCTGCTATGCTTTCCTCTCCCTGTCTCTAAAGCCAGAGGTGGCAGCCCAGAGTTGACCCCAGGCTTTCAGAAGCATATGGATCAGCCACCCCCAGCACACTGCAAGGAGACATTACCTCTTGGGACACTGGATGCGGGAGACTGCAGTCCAGGCAGAGAAATCTGGGCTTCTGCAGTAGTTCCGAAGCTCCTCGAGAGCCTTGCGCGTCTCCACCTCGCCCTGGACCCGGTACTCCTCCTCAGTCAGCAGGCGAGGGGGGCTCAGACCATGCCTGGCTCCTTGCACTCTCCTGCCAGGGGAATAGCAGCAGTTACAGCCCACCCAGCCCAGGCAGGACCCCCAGCACAGGCATCCCTCTGGCTCCTCATTACCGAGGAGGAGCAGGGCACTCTCCTGCACCAACCACAGTCCCCTCATTATACCCATCCCAGCCCCAAAACCCTGTGAAAATGCCCTGGTTCCGTAGCACAGACTGTCCAGCCACTCATCCAGGCCCAACAACAGCTGAGAATCAGCCACGGTACTTGAAGCCCTCACCTGTAGGCAGCGAAGGCCCACTGCAAAGGGTAGTCCAGGTTCTTGGTGCAGATGGCAATGACCACCAAGGCCAAGGCGATGGGATGGATCTGGATGCCCGAGTACATCAGCAACAGCCCCAGGAGCTGCAGGGCCCAGGAGAGGAGGTTGATGCTGCGCTGGTTCTCCAGCGGGCCGTACCTGTAGCACACGCTGAAGCTCACAAATCCAACGAGCAGCAGGTACCCTGGGGGGAGCAGAGGGATGGGCACAAAGCAGTGGGCTTAGCCTGGCTGAGCATCTGCCAGGCCTGCAGCTCAGCCTAAGGCAGGAGCCCCGCTCAGAGCCAAGGTGGGCAGGAACCCTCAGCATTTTCCACCTGCACGTTGCAGCTCCCGTCAACAGGAGAGTCCAAGGGCTCACACCTACCTAGGACGTACTGCCAGTAGGACTTGCAGATCTCCCGCAGGTTCTTAAAGATCAGCTGAAGCAGGTAGAGGGAAAAGGACCAGCCTCCTACCAGCAGGAAATAAACTGGACTTTTCTAGGAGAAGAGACATAAATTCCAGACAGGCAGCAGGCAGCCACAGCCACCTCCCCTCAGCTGCCAGACGCACATCCCAGCGCCCCAAGGCCAGAACAACCGTACAGGTGTAGAAAGGTGCTGTGAGGACTCTCCTCCCCAGCCAGACATTCACCTTGGGCATGACCTTGGACATCATGTAGACAAGGATGAGCAGCGAGGCCAGCAAGCCAAAACTAATCCCAGCAGAGTAGTAGAAGAGTTGGCTCCTACAGAGACCACATGTGTTACACCTCAGGGATGCCTATGTGTGAATACACGACTGGGAGCAACCCCACCACTGGGAGCAACCCCTTGGGAGCCTGTGGAGCCACCCACACTGCCCACACACCCCTTCTTGTCCCCAGCTCATGGGGGACTCACCTGCTCAGCATGTCCCCACAGAAGAACAGTAACAGGCCCAGGAAGAAAACCAAGAACAGCTTAGGGTCAAAACCTGGAAAGAGAGTGAGTCCAGGTTGCGAGGGGCCTGGGCATGGTGCCCTCTGCGTCGTGCTCCAGCCTGCCCCATAGTCACAGGGTCAGGGTTCCAGGCAAACCTCCAAGTGTCCTGAACCCCCCCACTTTACATCCCCTTGGATGAAGACATGCTCCCTTCTTCAAGCTCATTATTCTTCCCAAGTTCTGTTGGTCCTCAGACCACGAGCTCCCCTGGCCAGGTCCTCATTGCCCCCTTGAGAGCACCAGAGCAGCCAGATCCCCTCCTGCCCCTTGAGCCCCTGGCAGAGGGGACGTACGTCGGAAAAGGATGACGGAGTAGGTGGTTCCAGCCTCCAGCAGCTCGACCTTCAGGCAGGTTTTGTTGCTGTAAAGATCCACATCGATGCTGGTGTCGTTCAGCTTCTCTTTCAGAAAGGAGGAGACTACATCCCACACGCTGAACCCTTCCAGCTCCTCCTCGCTGTCCACCTGGGTGACTCGGAACATGTGGCTGCTGTTGACCCGGATCTGCATGGAGGAGGGAGGTGACTGGGAGCACGGCCAGGAGTGCTCGGCTGTTCCCAGGAGGAGCTGCCCCCTCCCCTCACCTGTGTCCTGGTCCATATCTCGTGCCATTGTGGGATGCGTGTGTTGGTGTAGCAGAAGTGGTGTGTGTCTGAGTGGTGGTACACATGGCCCTCGAGGAGCGGGGTGACCAACTCCTTGGCACCTGTGAGCAGAGCAGGGGACTCAGCATCAAGAGGCCCCTGCCCCCATCTGCTTCACCCACCAAAACGCAGGGATCCACTTTCCCTTCCCAGAGTTCCCCCAACTAAACATACTCTAGAAAGAAAAAAAGATAAAAGTCCTTCTTCTGTTTTCCTTGGAATGTGCTCTCTGGTTCTTTACTGGGATAATCCCATATCTTGGACTGTCAGGAAGAGCATAGGCTCAATCCCTCCTCTGATTCCTCATTCTAGAGCTGCCCCCATCCCAGGGAAGGTGAGACCCGAGCGGCCTCATGCATGAATTCCCCTCCGGAGCCCCCAGAGGGCCCAGACGCTCCAGCAGATCTGGACACCGACAGCCCGGTACAGTCCCAGGCCTCGCTGTCACCCACAAGACCGGAGGCCCTGGGAAGGGGTGGCCCGTGCTCCGGGGGTCCCGGAGTGCTCCCGCAGGCCGAGGGGTGTGTCGGTGGCTGCTGAGCGATGGGCCGGAGCTGCTCGCCCAGGACTGCCGAGGGCAGAAGGGGGAGAAGCGAAAAGGCAGAAAGGGAACGGCAGGGGGATCCGTGGGCAGACACCGGCCAGCTCCCC